GAGAGAGAGAGAGAGAGAGAGAGAGTAAATTAATTGCATTTTTTTTACATGAAAATACATTTGATAAATAATTTGTATTTGACTATGATTGGGGAAGCGGTATGGGGTTGGTTGCTAGGCCAATTCTATGTTAAATTTTAAGTTAAATGGTTGATCCTCTATTAATTGATAATTTGCTTAATCATAATTATAAATTCTACCAGAAAACAACATCGAAATAAATAATGTGAAAATGTATGAAATCGTTGAAAAGTTAGGACTTGGAAGTTTTGGAAGCGTGGTCAAAGTAAAGAATAAACGAACCAAAATCCCATGTGCTCTTAAAATATGTCAATTAAATGGTAATTTTTAATTAATTCTTTTTAATAATTCATAAGATATTAATTTAAATAAACGAATTTCGTCAAAAATCTTTTACACAAATTACGACACGTTTTTATTTTGATCGCTTTTTGCGCGTACTTCCCGTGTATTACCTCTCGCTGTACTTTGTTGTGTTACATACAGCATATTTGACCAAGGTCAACAATTTTAGTCATGTTACTGTCGACTCGTGTTATTGGTTTCTCGAAGCAATATTTGCTGGCAATTTAATACCCAACATGAGAATGGTAAGTTAATCATAATTACTACATTTCTCATTTATTTATTTGCTTGTAGTGCAATGCAGAATCTTGGTCAATTTGAGTGCTAATCCAATTGGTTTTAGTTACACCCGTATTTATCTACATTATTCGACGGTTATTAATCTAATTCAATTTAAATTATGACTTAATATCCATATTTAAAAATAAATAATTCTTGTTATTGCAGAAATCTCAAAACTGGTATTATAACCATAATGATTGGATGCGTAGTGTGTATGGTTTATACCATGTACATTAATTACTTTACAAGTTTTGAGTGAGTTCATAAAAGTTTTGTACTAACATCTCATAGTTATCAAACATTAACCCTTTTTTAAACTGCGCTAGATTAAGATTTACGTTAATGCAAATCAAACCAATGACCCATGGTGCACCATATTTGGCCGGCATATTATACGGCTATATATCGGTCGACGAACAGCTAAACAAACGGATCCGCGCCTACGGTTTGCGGCCAAAAATGATTGGTTTGTTGACAGCTATTACGGCGGCGATGGTATCGATCGGCGCATTCATGCCATCGATAGCACACTCGTCGGTCTATTTTACACTCTTTAAGGCCAACAGCAATGTTTACGCCGCAGTCATATGTGTGTCGGCCATCACATACGCAAACGATACCACTCTTACCCACAATCGGTTCCTGTCGTCCCGTTTGTGGCGACCCATGCGCTCAATACAACTCACATCGTTTTTACTGCACAAGCCTTTCGCAAGGCTGTTGTTGGCCGCCTTTCCGGTCGACAATCTGCTCCGTACGGTTCCCGTGGCGTTAATGTTGCCGCCGATGGTTGCCTTCAATTGTCTGGCGATGACTGCGGTGTCGGCGGTGTTTGAGTTGCCGTTCGGCCGTTTGCAGCGCTCGCTGTCGACGTATGTGTTTGACGGCACCCGACGTGCGGCCGATCGTCGCTCTGTCACTAAATCCGAATAATTTAATGCTTTTTGAATTGTTATGGGTTTTACATTATTATCGTAGAATCTATTTAATGCACTTGTATTTAATCCAAAATACTAAATGTTATGATTTAAATAATTATTTTGTATGTAGTTTTAATAGTAAATACAATAAAATACTAACATTAGTAAAATAATTTGTGTGACTTTTAATGTAAATCATTGATTTAAAATCAAACATTACTGAAGTACAGTACAAGTCTAACACATTATGTATTATATTATTTTAACTTAATGATCAAAATTAAACTATAAATTAATCACTGTTTTCAATATTAAATCAATAAAAATAAAATTCAATGAATTTTATTTTTAAAAAATTAATACAAATTTTTTCAACAGTTTGAATCAGTGATTGAAAAAATTTTAAAGTAAATATTTAAAATTTAAATTTTTAATGCAAATAAAAATAGACAAATAAAATGTTTATAACACAAAATATAAATCAGACATATTTGCGCGTATTTTGAACAAAATCCTCAATAAGTTGCGACACTTTTGCCAAACTATTATCCGATTGTATTCGTCGGGAGACAGCGGCCAACCGGTCAGCCATTGCCCTATCGTTGAGCACAGTCTCGATCGCCGCCAACAGCTCCTCCTCCGAGCACTTGTATGCGTCCAGTGGTAGACCAAAGCTCTTGTCGTGCAGTCTCTGCGCGTTATCGTACTGTTCGCCAAACACAGGCATAGCTATCATTGGTCGGCCAAAGTGTAGGCTTTCGGTCACCGTATTTAGGCCTCCGTGTGTTATAACCAGATTCACTAGCGGTAGGACTCGGATCTGGGGCACCGACTCCGCGCCCCACATATTGTCGGCCAGAGTGTACTCCTTATGCTTCGGACCCATCGATACGATGAACCGATGCGGAGATTTGGCCAAAATGGCGACCAATCGGCGCATGTTTTGCACGTCAACCGAACAGAGAGTACCGAACGAGAAGTAGACCAACGCTCCGGGCTTTGGGGCCAACACTGGCGGCACCGCGAATGTCACGTCCCGTTCGGTGCGTTTAAAATTGTCAAACCGGACATAATTACGACCCAACGGCCGGATGTCCTGATAGTCCAACTCCAAGGGATAGCCGTATATATGAAGATAATGCGATGAGTTATGAAAGCGGTGTTCGGTCAGTGGTTCGCAGCCCCGGCCGACCACCCAATCGTTAAACGCCCGCCACTTCTCTATCTTCACGTCTCTAACCAATTGGCGAAACTCGTGCCACAGTTTTGGGTCTCCCGTAGCGGACAGTCCTATGAATTGGACAGTCGTTTAACTCGCGATAATTTTTAACCACAATTTATTTACGAATACGGTGTGTTATAATATCGTTCGGCCGCCCCCACCCCATTTCCCTACCCTAGGTTTAACATTAGTAATGCTAAGTCTATAGACAATGTTATGTCTATAGAAATCATATTAAACCTGTATATAATGTTAATCTATTATTTGACCAACCTGATTCACCGGGCGGTGTCCTTTCATCGTCCAGCATCATGAGAGGGCCGGCGCTCCAACACCACACACACGGTATGCCAGACAACACCACCGCCGGCAGTGTCACCAACTGATCCACAACTATGACATCGGGCCGAATGGCGGGCAACAGACGGGCCAACTGTGTGTCCAAATGCTGGGCGTATTTTGTCCAAAACTCGGCGGCGTATGACTCGTATCGGGCCTTCTCTATGGCCGACGCGCCGCCAATTTTGCCCAAAGACAGCATAAACTGCGCGCTGCAGTCCATATCAATAGCCGTACCCTTAGTTTCGTTACTAGTGGCCAACTCTACCGTTTCGATGCCATGAGCGGCCAGTTTTGTCCGCCAGACATCGTTGTCAATTGTAAACAACACGCGGTGTCCGTCGGCTACCAATTTGGTCGCAATACCGATACAGGGATTGACGTGACCCTCGCCTAAGATGGGCACGAATAGCACTTTAAGCGGTGTTTTATTTGCCATTGTTTTCGTAAATACAATTATTTTGTAGCGTTTTTTTTTGGTGTTAATCATACACAGTTTGTCTCACATCCAGACAATTAATGCCAATCACTATCGTATGATTGTCTCGTCAGAGCAAACGTTTCCACATAGAAATTGTCAACTCATGTGTTGACACAAAATAGTAAAATTTTTGTTGTTTTGAGATTACTTTTATAAATTATATAAATTATAGAAGTAATCTCAAAACAACAAAAATTTTATAGACTATAATAGAACGCTAAGAATATTATCCTAAACTAAATACAAATATGTAATATAAACAAATGTTTTTATTAACATTGCCACCGACGGTCCGACCCGTCAAATAACTTTAAACACTATTGGTTTTATGTTGTTTTATCCATTTATGAACTTATTTTATGATTTTGTGTGTCTTATATATTTTTTATAAATCATTTAATTGTCAATTTATGGCTTTAAATGTATGTATTGTTTGCTTTCACTATAAATTTAAAAACAAAAACAAAAATAATTTTTATAAATTTACGTGAGTTTCAAAATTTCAAACACATTGTTAGAATTTCTAAATTGAAAAGCATTTCATAACTGAAATACAAATTTGCAATAAAATGTCTGTAATATCAGTGACAATGATATACACTGTGTTCGCAATCATATGTGTAGCCATCTCTAGCACCGTAGATGTGGACCCGATTTTCAATGACATTAGTGCTGAACAAATGCAAACCCAGGGCTCGGGCGCCGGTAGTACTCACCGATGCGCTGATAACCCTTTGATAGGAAACTACTTGAAAAATGTAGTGAACGTCCGATTGAGCGCATGTCTTGTGGCCGGGAAATGGTCTGTAATCGACACAAACCAGAAACGCCTTTCGGTGGCCGCCTATTGTTGCTCTCTATTTGACTTCAAAAATGTCACAAACCAATGGGTATGTACTGTAAACATCATTATACACTGTATATCTATGTGTGGCTAATGATATACTAATTAACCTACGGTTGAATTGCCCATGGTTAGCATATCATGAATTGCGGCGTAGCGCCCAGTGACGAAATATACAAAAATATTATCGCACAGTGTGGCCAATCTGGCCATAAATTTAGTGACACTTACTGTGACAAACAACCTGGTAATCGCACAATGACTGCCGATTGTACTGCCGCTATCAACATCTGGACCACCGGACCCGACCCTAACTTCCCGACTAAACCGCCGGCGACTAATAGCACTAAATCTCCGTCCAGTTTCAGCGCCGAACGCCCGTTGACTACCGTTTGGGTATTATTGGCGGTTATAGTGGTGTCGATAGCCGTAGATCTCTATGGCTTTCATTAATCGGATTGATATTTGAGATGAAATCACTTTTTGTTATTTATTTTGTATCTAAATTGTTATCAATTGCTGTTTTGCATTTATTTTCAATGTTTTATTTTGTTTTATACAATAAATGAATTTTCATATCATTTATTAGTTCAAAGTAAATGTATATAAATTATTAGATCACTTTATGTCAATTTATGTCATTAAATGTATGTATTGTTTGCTTTTACTATAACCGAAAAAATAAAAACAACATTTTTGATAAATTTACGTGAGTTTCAAATATTTAAAAAAATTTTACAACTTCTAAATTGAAAAGCATTTCATAACTGAAATACAAATTTGCAATAAAATGTCTGTAATATCAATGACAATGATATACATTGTGTTCGCAATCATATGTGTGGCCATCACTGGCACAGTAGGTGTGAACTCACTTATGAGGGCCAATACCCGTCAGGTGTCGGTCGACAATACCGGTTATAATTGCAGCAAAGAGTTTATGACCGATTATGGTAATAGGATTGTAAATAAAGTAACGCAATGTTTACATGATGAAAAGTGGCCAGTGGCCCACCCGAGCGATCCCGACCCAGAACTAGCTGATGATTGTTGCTATTTTAATGAACTCATGACCATTAATATTGCACTGGTATGTAAACGCACCGGTAGTTACTATGTATTGACTAACCATTTCATTGAATAGTTTGCCGGTAAATGTCATAAAGTGTCCAATTTTCTGGACAATTTGCTAAATGAAACACTGATTGAGTGCTCAAAAAATGATCACAAAGTGAGCCACAGTTTTTGCGCCGCTCAGCTCCGGGGGCGACACATGGGTGCCGAATGCCAACGATTTATCAATGAGTTGACCGCCGCTGCCGTCACTAAACCACCGGCCAGTACTACCCCTCACCGGACATCGACTGCTGTTTCGGTATTATTGGCGGCAATAGTGGTGTCGATAGCCGGAGATGTCTATGGCTTTCATTAATCGGATCGATATTTAAGAAGAAATCACTTTTTTGTCATTTATTTTGCATATAAATTGTTATCAAATGCTATTTTGTATTTGTTTTCAATGTTTTATTTTGTTTTATATAAATATAAATGAATTTTCATATAATATTTTAGTTCAAAGTAAATGTACATAAATTATTGATTGTTTGTTTCATTAAAATATATTTACATATAATTTAGTTAATAAGTTGTTTATTATAAATGCATTTTCATTCATCAAAAATCACTTTCAATTAAAGCTGTAAAACAATACAAACCATAGATTGAGAGTTGAGTTGTTATTTGCTGTCATATACCGTCATATATCGGTTTACATTGAATTAGGTGACATGTACCAGAGTAGAATTGTATTACTGTAGCCGATTTGGCACCTAGGACATTAGTTTGGGTAATAATGAATGTTTGACTATGGTTAATTTATAAGTGTAGTACATTTATATGGGGTTAACATAAATTATTTAAAATTCAATATTTAACGCAATTCACAACATTTCTAAACAAAGCGCACAAACAGTAACTCAAAACCAAAGCGTTTTATATCACATAAACTGATCACAAGTTTGTCCTTTGAGTCAAGAGTTTGTCCGCAAACCCCGACTACCTGTCCGTCCATCACATCCCACACAACAGCACAACACCTCTGGAAGTGATCGTCCGGTGCTCTGACCACAGGTTAGGTTTGTATTTAATAATTGCTTTTAAAAGTAGTCTTAATTGTGTTTCTAGTTTTTTATGTAATGTTTTAATTATTATTTACAGATCCAAAACAGAGAGACAATGCTTTTCACTCTCATAGCCATGATATCTGTGGCCATATCTGGCCGTCCAGTAGGTGTCGGCCCGACTGTCAGTCCCGTAACAGAGTTCCCGCGGCCCTTCGGGCGGCTCTTTGATGAGATCCAGACTCACGACTGCAGACCTGATATATCTGCACACATGATGTCAATAAGCATACAATTGGTCCAATGCTTGGGCACCGGGAGGTGGGGTATTGTGACCGACCGGTTGGACACCACTTCGCCCGCCTTTTGTTGCTTTATTTACGACACAAACCGTATCGCAAACGTTATGGTATGTACTGTCCGTACGTGTGTTAAACCCGTACCCAATATATGTCATACGTGTATATATTCTGTATATGTATTAATGTTACGCTATTTAACCCATGGATTGAATGGCCCGACAGTTGGACAGACAGTGCATCCGAGTGTCCGGCAAACCAAACGCTATCTTTCAGTCGTTTGGAGACCAATGCAAACACAATGGCATCGATTTGAATGACACTTACTGTGAGGGTCAGCCCAGTCGACGACTTATGTCTATCGACTGTGACTTTTTTGTATATGATTTGAAAGACGGTCGCTATCCGTCGTTCCCTTCCCCTTCGTCGGCGACTACCCGTCCCCTCCCGGCTATGGGTTTGGTATTATTGGTGGCGATTGTGGCGTCGATTGCGGTCTTTATGTATGGCTTTTAATATGAAATTTAAGCACTCATTTGAACTGATATTTTGTGTTTCAATTATTATAAACTTATTTTGTATTTATGGTTATTATTGTTAAAACACACGTCCATTGCTTTTAATCACAAACCAATTGCTAATCAAAGCACTGTATTTTTGGTTAAATTAAAACAAATTTTTTATGCAATAAAACATTTCATTTCACTAAATAAAAAATTACATAATTTCACGTTATATTTAACATTCAACTAATTTTCATAATTTCTAAAATAGTAAATCATTTAATAATTGAAAACAATATAACAAGTGTTGAAAAACAGAGAGACAATGATCTTCATTATCATTGTCTGATATTCATTAAAGTGAATAATAATTAAAACATTTAATAAATACAATTATAGGAGGCATTGATGTGGGGGAGGAGATGGGGAGGGGGTTATAGTCTTTAAACTAAAATACTGTTATTCATTAAATGAAAATACTTTATAAATTCAATGCAAACACTAATCAATATATTTGCGCGTATTTTGAACAAAATCCTCAATAAGTTGCGACACTTTTGCCAAACTATTATCCGATTGTATTCTTTGGGAGACAGCGGCCAACCGGTCAGCCATTGCCCTATCGTTGAGCACAGTGTCGATCGCCGCCAACAACTCCTCCTCCGAGTACTCGTATGCGTCCAGTCGTCGGCCAAAGCCCTTGTCCTGCAGTTGCTGTGCGTTATCGTATTGATCGCCCCAAAAGGGCAACGCTATCATCGGTCGGCCGTAGTATAGGCTCTCGCGTACCGTATTTGTGCCGCCGTGTGATAGCACCAGATCCACGACGGGTAGCACTCGGAGCTGCGGCACAGACTCCGCGCCCCACATATTGTCGCCCAGTGTGTAGTCCCTGAGCTTCGGACCCATCGATAAGATGAAACGGTGCGGAGATTTGGCCAAAATGGCGACCAATTGACGCATGTTTGACACATCCATCGACACGATAGTGCCGAACAACACATAGACCAGAGCACCGGGTTTTGCGGCCAACTCGGGCGGCATCCGCAATGTCACGTCCGGTTCGGGTGACCGCATAAAGCCGTCAAAGCGGACATAATTGCGTCCCAACGGCCGTATGTCCTGATAGTCCAGGACGCGGGGGCAGGCTTAATTATTGAGATATTTGGCCCCGTTTTTCATGCAATGTTCG